GATAAATCCTCGGATACCGAAACGCTTTTCGTGAAATTGTGAATCCCAACTGTAGTTCCAAATTTTCTCAAGCGTGAATGAAAGGATATTTGCGATGCGAATTGTTCGAAAAGTTTCGTGCTCTACTGAATCCATTGCAAAGATGTTAATTTTGATTGTTTTGCACTGATGTACATGTTCATTCTTTGGTTCATTGGAATTTTTCAATTTGTAATTTTTGTTGCGAATAATGAATTGTATTTTTGCATTGCTTGTTATTTTTGTATTATTTATTATTACTCGTAACGAGTATTAGTTTTTTCGAAGCCATATTTTATTGCGAAAGAAGGATTCATTTCAATTGATGGGAGACGTTTTGAACAGCCATTTCAGTCAAAAATATCTGGTTGATAAATGCTTTTAAATAGATAATGCGTAAGCCGTCGTCATTGCTTTATAACTGAATCGACTTTCTGAAAGTCAACAATCATTCTTAGCAACCACCTAAAAAGCATCCAAAAAGCTTTTCAAAAGCATCTTTATGNGATATGCGTGAATAGTTTTGACCATCAATACTTTCCGAGACGTTCCTTCGATTTATTAACCAATACAAATAATCCGAACACCTCAGCCCTGTGATCACTGACGACTGCTGACAAAAGAATTAACATGAGAACGTATTCGCTGACTGTTTCTGATCGAATCGATGCAAGTTCGACGAAATAAACGATACAATTCATCATCTCACACCTTCTGTAGTTGCTTGCTTTCTTCTCACTTCAGTTTACTGGAGAGATTTTGCGAATCATCTCTCATTACAAGAATAATTTCAAAAACAGGAAAATTCGGTACAAATCTTGCGGAAGCCTTTTGCAACTCGCATTTAATGCCAACTTATTGCAGTGAGAAAAGCTAAAGGAACGCAGAACCGGTTAAGGTGACGATTATTAACTATGTTTCATAAGGCTACAACTGTTTTTCTGATCATCGCACTACATACTGTCAGTGCTGCCATCGACATCTCGACATGTGCTCGAATGGATGAAGGTGCACTTGATAAGNTGATCATCGCACTACATACTGTCAGTGCTGCCATCGACATCTCGACATGTGCTCGAATGGATGAAGGTGCACTTGATAAGACTTCTCAAGGATTATGCATCACTAAATGTAAACTTCAGGTGGTCTCTTCTCACCCCTTATTCACCCACATAAATGAGTTATTAGACACAAGGAACGCTGATTTCATCTAAATAATAGATTAATGATAGATTTCATCTAAATAATAGATTAATGATAGATTTCATCTAAACTAACCGATTAATGTTAAAGACAGGAGCAATCGGCTGCCGATTGAATTTGTCTTTTTCGCATGAAGCAACATTCGGAAGACGGCCCGAGTTTGTTAAAGACACCAATTCGTTGTTTTTGAAATATATATTGTTTACGTTAAAATTGCCCTTGCATGCCGGTTCCATCTTCTGAGGGCATTGTCGTCTGCGATAGAAACCCGAAATTAACCGAACAATTTTTGATAAGGTCATTTGAATCATCTGAAATATTTGGAACGTTTCAGAACTGTGCCACTGGATACTGTGAGGAACGTAATGGTCGTCCAAAGTGTGTGTGCAGTCGATGCGAAAGTCGAAGTGGCGATTCGCCGAAGATATCAATTGTCGATCAAAACATCTATTGGTGGGCAATAGCGCACTATTCGCTGTTCTGTGTTACTGGCAGAGCTGCGGTTTTCGGCTGCGCGTTAGCGATATCGCTACTGGAGGGATTTACAACGATAACTTCTGACGCAATAATGTTTTGGCTTAGGCTTAAAATAACGATACCTTGCGCTATGTTCTTTCATCAGCGTTTTATCGAGCTACCTTTTTCACACTT